TGCCCTTAGTCTTTACATAACAAATAGAGCAAAAATAAGACTGAAATAAATAACAACTGAAACAACTAAATGACCAATAGCTAACCCTAGGCAGACTAGAACACCTTCTACCCTACGAACACAGTGGGACCGTAGCTGTGGGGCCCACATCAGTGTTCTCTACAACATATATATTTTTTTTTGATCAGTAAGAGAAAAGATTTTATTATTATCAATTTCAAGTATTACATTGGATTTACTTGAGGAGGCAGGTATGTTGGGGTGTAACTGGTGGCTACACCAATGATACCAAACACTAAACTTACATCAGATCAGGGGGAGATGGTTGAAGATCCTGGACAATATAGGAGATTGGTTGGGAAGCTGAATTATTTGACCATTACTCTTATAGATATTTGTTTTGTTGTTGGGGTGGTAAGCTAGTTCTTGAGCTCTCCCCGTGTTCCTCACCCTGAAGCTATGCTTAGAATGATAATATATCTCAAGGGTTCACTTGGTATGGGAATTGTTTATAGAGATAATGGTCACTTGACTGTATTAGGTTTCATGGATGTAAACTGGGTTGGATCACTGACTGATAGGAGATCAACAGCAGGGTATTGTACTTTCCTAGGTGGAAACTTAATCTCCTGGAAAAGCAAGAAAGAGAATGTTGTTGCGAAGTCGAGTGCTGAAGCTGAGTATAAGGCTATGAGTCAAGCAAGTGGGGAGTTGGCGTGGCTTAAAAGTCTTCTTCGTGAAATTGGGATACCTGTTAAACTGCCTATGCATTTACGTTGTGATAATCAAGCAGCAATCCATATAGCCTTAAACCTTGTTTTTCATGAGAGGACAAAGCATATAGAGGTGGATTGTGATTTTATTAGAAAGAATGTTCAAAGTTGTGATATCAACACCCCTTTTGTGAAAACTGGAGACCAGTTGGCTGATTTGTGGACTAAAGCTTTAAATCAATCTTGTATTGATTTCATTACTAGCAAGCTTGGTCTATATGATATATACACGCCAGCTTGAGGGGGAGTGTTGAGGAGAGTAGATTTCTTGTATTTGGGGCAGTAGGATGGCTTAGTCTTTCCTTTCTTTTATTAAGGGTACTCCTGTCCAGAATTTATCATAAACAGGGGTATTTGTGTAAACACATCATTATTTATATTAATCTAAGTTGTGGGCCAACTGGTTAAGAGGGCTAGATCCTTCTAATCTACCCTCTAATCAGTTTGACTGGGTTCTCTTCTCTCAAGCCTTTTTTTTCTTCTTTCTCTCTCTTCCTTTTCTTCTCTCTCCTCTTTTATTTTCTTTCTGGTTTGGTGCCTTTTATTACTGTTTGACTGTGATTACCATGTTTTCACATCTTTTCTTTTTTCTTTTTTCTTTTTCCTTTTTCATCAATATCTTATGATATTCTGTCTTTATGAAGTTGCATAGAAATGCACATATGGGACTTTTTTTTGTTGAGAATACTACAATCTATTTTTATTAAAGGATCATACTTTTGCAGTCTTTTTGAATTTGGAAGAGTTGGACAACTTTTTGACTATGGAGTAAAATGCATGCCAGATTGTGTCTGGCCTCTCACTATGGAGAACCAATCAGATTGCAGTGAAGCACCAGGACATCTTTGGAGACCAACAGGTGCTTTGACTCTTATGCCGTCATGTATATCTTGTATAAAGAGGAGTGGAAAGCATTACATGGATACAGCTGATGACAATTCAGTCATCCAGAATGCTTTGTATCCAGGAACAACACATGCATTTTATGATTGTGATTTCTCTATTCCTTTGCAGATGTACTTCCATACATATTTAATTAGGTAATAGGCATTATAACATCTTTCTGGCTGTTTCTTATATTTGACAATTTTCATTTGCTTTCTTTCATTTTATTGCATTTGCAAAACTTGACATCAAGAAATAGGATAACCACTTTGGGATCGGAAACATCTGGTGGATCCATCTTTGTCCTGAATCTTAGTGAACCATTAGAGTTTAGTCCAAGTATTCCTGTTCTAAGGAGAAGACTTTTTGAGGTTGCTTCGTTGAATTGTACAATTTGGACTGCTGATTGCAACTCCAATGGGACTGAAGCAATAGTAGGTAAGTTCTATAACTAATAGTTTTTATCTGATTACGTGTTATTTACCTTAAAATATTATCTTATTTAGGATATTTTCTCTGCTCGTGTGATAATTGTTGCAAATTTTACCTTTTTCTTTCCAAGCAGTAATTAACATCTGTACCCATGTTGGAAGAAAACCAGATTCAACCCCTCTTACCATTCTCTAGTGTTTTCTATCATTTTATAACTCATGCATGTGCTGTTTTTGTGTCAAGCAACACTTCTAATAACATGGGTATCACAAAGATCAGATTTGAAATGTAGTAGTGGGAAAACGAGAAGGGATAGTGGATAGAATGAGGTAAAAGTGGATTAAGATGGTCTGCAACTGTGCATAGTGAGAGGAAATAAACTGTCAAGTCAGTTGAGTTACTTCATCTCTGGTGTTCAGGTATAACAAAGAAAAATGGGAATAATCATAAAAAAATAACAAAAAAATATGGATATTCACCAATAGGAGCTATGTGATATGGTCTTCACACATGAATACGAACAAGCTCAAAGGGAACAATAGAACTTTTTTTATTAAAAGAAACATGTTTCCACAATATTTGACTAATCGGCAATTTTCACAATGTAAATTAGACATCCTAATAGAAGCAAATAAAGAAGGAAATGACTAACTCAAAGTATAGAAAGACAAATGATCCAATCGAGCTTGTTAAAGCATAACCTGATGACAACATTGGTTCTTATGCTCAAGTTCTGAATTTAGTCTTTATTCTTCCTCACTTAAAAACTTGAGGATGGCGTTTATTTTTTTGAACCAGAGGAGAATGATGCAGATATGGAAGCAAGGGAATTAAGTTTGCTTTTCTATTCCTATACCGATTGCAGAATTTTTGGGTTATTGGATATTGGCACTGTTTAAGTTTTTGTATTTATTTTCTACTTGTGGGTGTCTCGACGATAGATTTTTGTTTTTTTTTTTTTTCGAAATTACAATTTATGATAACTTTGGTAACTTCTGGACTTACCATTTATGGTAGTTCTCTTAATTATTATTTTTATTAAACTTGTAGTTTACTGTTTTCAGTAATTTCTGATGTCTTTAAATTAAAGTAGTTTTAGAAAAATGTTATTAGAGTTGTTTAGGAGTTGGAGTCCTTTTCAAGTGTCCTAATGGGTTACTTGTGGATATGTCTTAGTTTTAAAGCAATTAGGAGTTCTTGTGGATGACTGCAAAAGAAAAGTGTCTTACCAAGGAAATGGTGATAAGGAGGGATTTCAGCCTATCAGATGTGATTTGTCCTTTGTGTAACATGGTGCCAGAATCAGCAAATCATCTTTTCATCCACTGCAGCTTCTCGTCAGTGGTGTGGCAGCACTTTCTTAGAGCGATAAATCTGAGTTGGTGCTGGCCAGAATCAATCCCCTCTGTTCTTCAAGGGTGGAGAGTCCAAGGAATGTCCAAAGAAGGGAAGCTAGTGTGGTCTGCTATTCCAGCTGCAGTTTTGTGGGTAATCTGGTTAGAAAGAAACAACAGGATATTTGAACAGAAAGCCAAGTCTGAGGCTGGGGTGATTAACTGTGTAGTGGAAGAGCTGTGGAGCTGGTTGTCTATTTCTGATGTGTTTTAAGTTGTGTTTTGCGCCGATTCTTTTTTGAGGGTGAATTTCTTTGGGGTGCTTTAATGCTGTTTGTATAGCCTCTTGTACAGAACTTATACTGTTTGATACTCAATACAATACTTTACCTTTAAAAAAAAGCAGTTTGTTTTGGGTCAGTTTCCTAGTCCAAATCAGAGCCTGTAAAGGGACATCCGAGTTAGTGTCTTTAAATTGAGTCAATGTAATTGGAGACTTGGAGTTTGAGGAGAGTTATTTGATGAAAGAAAGATTGGTTTAGTGAATTTTGGTTGTTTCCAGAGGTTTGTTCTCTTTTTTTCCTCTCTCATTTCTTCTTTTAAGCAACTTGTTTCTTGGCTGTTTACCCTAACAGCAAGAGTTCTTCTCGTTCTTCTAATTTCTTTCTCATTTTTTTGGTAACAATAAGCACTCCAATTGTTTCTCCATTCATATCCTTCATCTCTCACCCACAACTTTCATTCACCCCCCACAGAGTGCACAACCAGATCCTAAGTTGGTAGGACCCCTTCCCTTCCTACATCTACTCCTTCGAACCTATCAAGCCATGCTCTAGGTGACTACTTTAAGCCATATAATGTTTTCCTCCACCAATATCACTATAGAACCCTATTGGCAGATCCATATATACCTCTTCTTACAAATCCCCATTAAGGAAGGTGTTCTTAACATCAAGTTGAAAAAGTGGCCAAGGATATATGGCAGCTAAGGAGAGGACACAAAGAGAGCTCATCTTAGTTACAAGAGCAAAAGTCTCCAAATAATCAACCTCATAGGTTTGTGTATATCCTTTTGCAACTAACCTTACCTTGTACCTTTCTATACTATCATCAACTTTATACTTCGTAGTATATACCCATCTACACCCCATAGTCTCCTTGTCAACAAGCAAATTAGTGATCTTCCAAGTCTGATTCTTAATCAAGGCCTCCATATCGTCCTCCATAGCTTTCTCCCATTCAAGTTTAAAGAGAGCCTCACTAACAGTCTTGGGAGACATAGAAGTGAGGGGTCAAGAAAGCACAATATGATGGTGAAAGAGAACTGTATGAGAGATAATGGAAGAGGAATGTGCAGTGGTGGTGGTACACTGTCTCTTACCCTTATGGAGTGCAATGGGGAGGTCTAGGTCATTAGGTACAAGTGTATCATTGACAACTATTAGAGGTAGGATCATCAAAAGGGATAATAGGCATACTTGGATCCATGTTTGGAGAACCAAAGTCTCAGGAGCAACAGAGAGTGGTGTAGGTTCTCCGGGAACATTATTGGGCTCTCTTGGAGCATCAGAATCAACCCTTCTGAACTAGAACACTATGAAGAGGCATGGAGAGGTAATGCCAAAGGAACCCGAGAAAGCAAAGGAGTAGGAAGAGGAAGAGGGACAACACTCTCATCACCAAAACACTCCCCTTGAGGGGAAACACTAGAAATGAAAGGACTGGACTTGTAAAAGGTAATATCCATAGTGCTGATAAAATAATAAGGTAACATCCATGGTAATATATCGATTCCTAAACATTAGATCTTAACAGCAATAATCCTTCTAATTTGGACATACCCAAGGAATACACATTTCTTGGCTTTAGGATCAAACTCAGAATGGTGAGGTCCAAGAATATGAACAAAGCAAGTACACCCAAAAACCTACAAAGGAATATGAATTATCTTCCCCTTAGGAAACAATACACCAAAAGGATCCTTAAAACCAAGGATATAAGAGGGCATACGGTCAATTAAAAACATTGAAATTACATCCTCCCAAAAGTGAACATGGATGACGGTAGATACCAAAAGACTCTTGGCCACCTCTACAATATGTCCATTCTTTCTCTCAGCCATTCCATTTTGCTGAGGTGTGTAAGCACAACTACTCTAGTGAACAACTCCATACACCAAAAGGTAGGATGCTAGTTTTTTTTTTCTCAAAGGATTCTCTAGCATTGTCCAACTTGAAAACCTTAATCTTCAACCCAAACTGTGTGAGAACCATCTAGTGAAACTGTTGAACCAAAGAGGGAACCTCATCACGAGAACACATCAAATAAAGCCAAGAAGGAATGGGATAAGGATCCAAACATGAGTATAAACAATATCAAAAGCCAAACTACTTTTATTACTTGAAGAAAAAGAATGTCTACAATGCTAGGAAATTGACAAATTCACACTCCAAACTAGGCATCTTAATTGACTCAAACAACTGAGGAAACAACAAACATAAGGAACTAAAAGACAAACGACCTAAACAATTATGCCATAACATAATCTGATTAACTAACTTTGGTCCACTCTCTATTTCTCACATAATGGCTTTGGTAGCTGGGAAATGCATCTAGAAGGTAGGTCCCATTCACCTCACAACCACTCCAATCGTTTTTCTTGACTCTAGATTCCGGAAAACACAACAAGTAGGGAAAAAGGTTACAGTTCAACTTTTTTGTTAAATTACTCAGATGAGATTGGTATGCAATTTGGGGACATACAAAATAGAGTGTAGGGTAAAATAGTGTTAGATATTTATAATAGTGCCTTTACTGGCTATAGTGACATGGGAACCATTAGAAATGGAGACTTTCTCTATCAAAACACAACTGATAACACAATTGATATGAGGAAAAAGAGACGGTACACTAGTCACATGCTCAGAAGCTCCTCATTCTATTATCCAAGGAGATCCCTCCTTACCTAAAGTAGAAACATAGTTGGCTAGTGGCATGTGTATTACTTGTATGTGCAAAGGAAGTACAGTGACCAACTCCAGAAGTCCCCCCCCACACACATCTACACCCTATTGAACACCTGATGATGCAATAGAACTGTCCATATCCCTTTGGATTAGATGACAACAATACTTTTCCAACTTGGCTCGAACTGCTGCTGCAGCTATAGACTCTAAGGAAGCAAAGGAAAGGGAGCCAAAAGACTCATCTGTTACTACTACATTAGCATTCCCCTTCTTATTTCTGAATTGGGCAGGAAAGAGATTAGGGTGAAGCTTCCAACATGTATCTCTAGTGTGCTTGGGCTTTGTTAGAGTAGGATATAGAGGGGTAGTTTTGTCATTTTTCTTTATGTTAAGAGTGTGGTGTAATATCTACCCTGGGTTAAGTGTTGTGTCCCACACTTAAGTAGGGGTGCAATTGTCTTTATGTTTTAAATTAGAAACCTATAAATAACAATCTGTCTGACTAGAGAAACGCACCAGCCTTTCTTTTTTACTTCTCTTCTGTTCGTTCTATTCTTTCTCTCTTTTTTCTTTTTCTCTGTTATTCTGGAACTAAAACTAGTTCATATCTGAATTTGGTCATGGTATCAGAGCCACTATAATCAGTTCTTATCTACCCAGATTTTTTTTTTCTTTTTCAGCGCCATTTACCCTAGGTTTCTGCAGA